ACCGCAGGCCATCTGACCTCGCACAGTATTGTATTCTGTATGCCAAACACGAACTACATTGCTGATATGAAAGGTGTACGTACTCCTTGTAGTAAGCTCTTAGGTCACTGTTGCGCAATTATGTTTTCCAGCAATGCCCACGTCTGCCATTGTTTCTCAACACTCCGTTTCAACAGTGGGGCCACGGTTCCCAATGCTGTGCAAAAATGTTCCAGGTCATGTGGGTTGCCTAGCTTCTAGAAAAACCACGATAGACAGACAGACAGACATGTGAAAACCTCAAATCCTACTTAATAACAGCGGTATATAAATATCGCCAGGCGGAATTTTTCCACTGGCCTAAGGGACGCTATAAAATATCAATATACGACTAATACAGTATAATGTTAATGATAATGAGTAAGATACTGGTAGATGGAAGTGTTCACGAGCAGCCTACACACGCTTGCAGTTATAATGGGATCAATAATAAACCTCTTAATTATCTCATAGTTGACAGAAGGAAACATTCAAGTATGATTAATGTGCAATCTTACAGTGGGACCGGCCACGACTATCACCAGTTTTCAGTAATTACAAAGTTAAAAAATTGCTGTGAGCAGTGTAATTGACAAGCAGCAACTTGATATAAAATACTGAAGTAATCTGGAAATTAAATAATCCCTTCAAGTTGCATATGAATTTGGAATTCACGAAATTTATACAGAGATGTGGTCAATAGTGCAACAGAAAACAACACTTTTCTCAGTCAATCTGTATGGTTAAAATCATTCCCATGTATGTGTAGTTTAATAATGGGCCAAAGGATAAGTTTTACATTAATATTATGCGACTGGAGGCTTCCCGTATTCAAGAATGTCAATTCTCTAACTCAGATAACATCAGAATGGTAGTCGTGCAAAGTTCTGAGGAGGGAAACGACACATCGCCATCTAGATCCCGAAAACTTCAAGGTTTATGGTGGCTGGCAGTGCAGTATAACAATAAAACGACCGAGAACAGCACAAATTAAGTATCTGCGGGGTAGTTTTCAGTTGATCACTGCATCTGGCAAACCTCCAGAATGTTTGGCGCCAGTTATCTTCGTGGTTCGTTGCTGATGTGTGCATCTGGGCCCTCCTCAAGCTTCTGACACGCGGAAAAGTCTCAGGCACTCAGACATGTTACTCTACGGATTAATAATTCGTATCAGGTGAATAGTATAAAATGACTTATGAGGCGTCCATTTGTCTCTGCACTAACACCAGCGACGTCCTCACAGAAAGGAGATTTATAAACAGTTCTTATTCTGACACTTCCGTAACACATCGGCCAATCAGACGCGCGGCTTCGCTTGAAGGCTTGGGCCTAATTGTGCTCGTAACTGAAAATTCCATCAAAGCATTTCAGCTGTTCTTTTCATTTCCAGTCTTGATCTTTCTCTCCTTCTCGCTTCCTTCTGAGTTTTTCCCCCCTTTTAGTCAGCCCCGTCACTACGACGAAGTAATATTCTCGATAAAATAGTCTCAATAATAACAATAATAATAATGGTAATAAGTAAACTTTTACGTCAGTGGAGAAGGGGCTTAATTAATTATTATCGTCAATAACAGAATGTTTCGTTTTTGAATACAGAATCTAAATGCAAGTGTACATATATTTTACCCACACATGATTATCTAAACTCTGTTATGTTTTGCAAATATCGGAGGAAATAAATACAAAACATAGTTCGGTTATTCAGCCAAACTGATAATTTCAATTGGACTTGTATACAGTAAATCAACTACACATTCCAGCCACATACATTTTAAACTGACGACAAATTTAATAAAAATCTATTCCGAAATTTAAAGACGTGGCCAGTGTGTCTGTATGACCAGCCACGTGACAGTGGAGTTCATTTAAACGTTTATGGGACTGCTCCTGCCTCCATAATCAGAGACTGATTTCAACCCGTGATGATGGGTGCAGAGACAGTCTCCGAAACCCTGGAAACCAACTCCAATCTCACGCGTCTAATAGTACGAAAAGACATTTCAGTATTCAGCTGCCCTGAAAACTTCACATTTTAGATAATGTGCCTCAACAGTTGATGCGAGATGAATTATCACTCCGATTTTTCGTTTTGGAATGTCTGACGCCAGCAGCGCCACTTAACGCAGGCGCCATTTTGTCCCCATATAGATTGAGGACAAAAGCGAATTAAGACTTTATTAACTGTCTCTAGTTTAGAACGCAAGCTCAAATTATACTGCCCTAAACTGAAGATTTCAGTGTTCTGAATTATAAAAGCAGCAGACAGTTGGGACAAAACGAGACACTGATTTCGTGTTCTGAATGTGAGCGTAGGCTTAGTAAATCCAAATTCTCTCAATATAAATTTTGATTCTCCATACTTGACTGTAGCGTCTTGCCTCAGATTAACACACAAGCTCCTGTACACATGTTCCCCATTCTGATAATCGTTGTAGCAGTTCTCGGTCTTACGTAGGCCGACAGTAACTGAATAGTACGAAATAATTCATAAAGCCTAAACTAAACCTACTCAGACGAGAACCACAACGGATCTAGGCAAATCATCAGGTAAATCCGCTCGGCCTACAATAAATTCGCTCAAAATATCAAAGATAAACCTCATGGAGGTTTCTAATTTGCATAACGAACTTCATTACCTTCTGCCTTCAAACAATATTATTAGGATGATCAAATCAACGAATATAAGATGGACATGTAGAACGCATGCGCAGATGAGAAATATCTAGTAATCTAAAAATCTTGGTCGCAAAATCAGTGAATGAAAAAGGCAACTTGTGACTTCTTCGCGTAAATGAAAGGTTAAAGAAATACATGTTGTGAAGGTGCGGATTGATTTAAGCTGGCTCATGATAGGAACCAGTGGCAAGCTCTTGGGAACACGGTAATAAACCTTCGCATTCCATACAGGAAAGTCCTTGACTAGCTCAGCAACTATCAAATTCTCAAGGAGTTAGGCGTAGTCAAATTTTACTTTAGTTGTGAATGTGGAAGGCAGTGGCCATGCTTGTTTTACTTTTGGAGGCACTGAAGAAAAACACAAAAGACGCCAGGTCAATGGGTCTCAGGACGGAGACTCGGGTCCCAAACAAATAACCGTGTTAAATATATCACCAAGACATACAACGAACGATTATCACATTAAAATCTTTAAGATCATATCGACTTTCTTCTTATAAACGATAATATAGCCCGCTGTTGCATGTAAAGGATAAATGACGAACTTGAGAGCAGTCACGGACAACAATACATCAATCTTGTGCCCACTCTGTGAATCCAGAAACGTAAATCGATCTTCAAAACTGGCAGAAGAATCGAAGTCTGTTTCCTTTTGCCATGCACAGCTTGTCTTATTATGAATCAGAAAGAAATCTCACTCACCTCATGATTCTAAATCTGAAATTATTTTTGTGCTTTCAATAAATAATTTTTATAGCAATTTTTGCACTTGGCGAAAGTTTTCATGCCCGCGGCTCGTCTTCCATTTTGTGGAATTAAGGGCACGATTACAAATTTCCAACCAGGTAAGAATAATATACAGTTCTCACCTCGTAGTTTCTAACAACATCCCAGAAGACTGTCAACTTCACACAGAAATTAATTTTGAGATATTATTTTTAAAACCCGACTGTATTGTTTTAGTTTAATTGTAATTTCGTCGATTGTAGACTGTTATTTATTTTCCCCCCCCACTCCATTCTATGTGAATGTTTATTGACATTGTACTTCAGACAAAGCTCCACGTAATTACTGCACTAATAAACTTGTAAAACGTGTTGACTCTCCGTTCACAGTGGGGGCTCGGTCTGAGTGGGTCTTCGCCATTCGAACATTTACCATAGTTCGAATCCTAATGGGGGTAATGATAATGTTCGCGTTTTCCCGTGTTGCATTACCTAGTGACAGCCTGGCTTCGTACAAATAATCCTACCAAAGATCTAAAATAAATCATAATTTAAGAAGTAATTCTAAATTAGAAAAAAAGTCAATAACAACTAATCCTTGAAAAGCAAACATTCAGATGCGATTAGTCCGTTCGGGGCTACTAGTGCGCCGCCAGACAATTAAAACTGGATTATCATATTCATAATCATTATTAGATTACCTTAATGCTATGGTGCGATTGTTGCAAGGATTTAACAATATTGCATGGCCTAGCCTCTAGACCAGGAGTAACCACTTATAAGGAGTTATTGCCTTAATAACAACGTATTATTATATCTAACAAAAGCGATGAAACAACATTTGGCTGAATATTTGGCTTAGACAGAAGATTCGATTACAATTGAATAATGTTTTAGATATCGATTACGTTCTATCGCGAGCACATTAGTAAATGACAATCGATTCATAAACATTTCGCCGTATCGTTAATATTTGTTGTTATTTTGTTCTTACACTCTATTTCATGATTCGTACTACATTATAAAATCATTGTTTTTGAACAACTTCCGATTAATTAGGGCTGTACGTGTATTAAATTGTATCAGAAACTGAGGAGATATTAATTTTACGTGATGTACAAATTCTTCGTGATGAGAGGAACTCCTGTGCGCTTTTCTGTATAAATACCATAAAATTGAGGCATAATTGTGAGAGTATATCTATCCGCATATATCCTCTTTGAAACTACTTAACGGATTTCCATTAAATTTGGTACTGGTCCACACTTATGATCTGCCAGGCGAATTTAATTTCGATTCTTGTCACTCCAGTACAACCTCTGCGTTTATATTAACCCCAAATCGAATCTGATCGCTGTTGTTCTCGTAGACAGGTACCGAATTTTGTAAAATGTAAGTAATATTTAGATGAGCTTCGCCATTTAAGGGCGAAGAGAGAATTTGTATATGTTCTTTGTTTACATGTCAGTTGGTCTGTAATTAATATGCGAGGTGAGACAGCAAACAACGTGTAGTCTCTCGCAAGGTACGAACTCTGTGTATTCCTGGTTCACTGACTGTGTGATTAAGTGGAATACTCACTTTATAAACATGTACACCCCAGTTGGTTCCATTGCTCGGCTGATTCCTTTCCATGAAGCCATCATACTATATTTCTGCTTGGCCGTAAGAGGCAGACGAGGGTCTGGGGGCTCTGGTGGTGGTGGTGGACCTGCTTCCCCATGGCGTCCTTTGCTGCCCTCACCCGCATCTCGGTGAACCATGACCAACTTTCCCAGTTCACACCCCATGTTCCTCAGACCATGACAGCTTCTAATCAGAGTTCATCCTAGACCGATAGATAACTCCAACAGGTAAGCTCTGTTTTATTTCTGAAGCTGGCGAGTGTCTGCATTACGTTACGTTACAGTTTAAACACTTTGCGACGTTTATATGTTCTGCTATAAACAATATTTATATCTATCACACGCCCATACGTACGTATTAGTCAGAATGTACCGAGTTCCCTGCCATAGTTTTGATCACCTTAATGCAACCAACTAACAGCACAATATGAATGTTTAACACATGTGGTGTCATGTTGACCTCACAACAATGACTGTGCGTCTCCTATAGGCGCGACGCTCGTCCGAATACAACGCTTGGCGTCTGCGCTGCCTCGACGAGGAATACATGGAGGTGTGAGAGAGACAGGATATGGTATGAAGTAAACAGAGACGGGAAATTTCAGTTTTTTTCTCACATGGAGTTGTCTCATCGGAAGTAAGATACGTCGACGGGTTTGCTTCCGTCCTTTTCTCTAAAAATGATACTCATGAACCAACATATCATACTCCAAGGACAACATTAATATGAATATTTAACAGACAGAAATGAGGCACAACTAATTCGTTGACCATCTTATGTCAATGAGATGAAATCAGGTTCCTACAGCAAAACTTCACAAACGTTACTACACAAACACAGGCTAACATTTAAAATCTCTGTCGATACGACTAACAAACCACATTTTATCTCTGATACGAATTCCAGTCAATCATATTAACACCACTTCCTGTAGGTTCCTGAACTGCTGAAGCAGCTAGAAAGACTATGGACATATTACAATTTCTGTACGTCTATTAATAAATGTTTAATATTTGGAAACGTGGTAATGGTGCCAAATTATGATATTACATCTGATATTTATGTAAGTTACTTTCATAAGAATAAAAACTTTCAATGTCACAATCAACGTAGGTTAAACATGAAGCATTACGTCTTGAATAATTCCTATTGAAACCCGTAACACACTATTCTAAAATGTGAAGATGAAAATCACTCTCGTATGCGAGGCGTTCACCGTCTACGTTACGTGACGATTCTAATGACTGTCATTAAAAGGCACGTCACGCTTGCCCTATCAAGCCGACATTCCTCTTTCCTTTCGTCATATTCCACATTCCTCACATTAATACAAACCGTACACTTCTTGCTTTATAAAAGAATGGAGTTTAAATACGCACTGAATGCGAATAAGAGGAGCTAAATACCACTCAGTCCAAGTCTTGTGTCGTCTTGTTATATCTGCATGACTTTGCAGAAACAAGTATAAATCGGATGATGATATTAAAATGGATCTTAAAGAAACTGGCTCAGGATACAGTCCTGCGGCAGGCACTACTGAACACGGAATGAATCTTCACAGACCCAAAGGAAACAATTTCACAACCAGATGAAGTACCATCAGATTTCCAAGGAGTTGCCTTTCTACCGGCTACTCTAATACTCTGTGATGAGAAACTTTTCCACTCAGTTTACTCACAAGGCCAATGGAAACTTCACAGTGAAATAAACAGCTGTGGCATCTCAGGCGTACAACTATATTAAACGAAACAAAACACAACAAAAACACAAGACAATTCTGGAGGACGTACAAGGTCAACAAAAGGAGTTGTGGCTGACTTATTATCTCAATAAATCAGACTTTTATAACAAATCCATCTTTATACTGTTTTTATTATTCAAAGCACAAGATACAATTCCCACTAACAGCCTTATCCATAACAATCTCTAGACCACAGGTGAGGTTCAGTTGGTGGGCAGTTTCAAGAAAGGGCGAGGCAGGCATAAGCAAATAAAACTGTAGATACAGCGAAAGAAAAGTGGGCCGTAATCGAAGAACTCCGAGATAAATCCCCGTAACGTGAAACTGTAAAATTAAAAATACATGAAATATTTAAAGTGTTCTTATGTTTCTCAGTAGATATAGGTATAATTTTATCAAGCTTTCATTGGTGTTCTTTTCTGTACTTTTATAATAATTAGTATAATTCTATATTTCACTTGAATGCTTGTATTTTAACACTAAACTAAAGCTGTTTAACATGACTTGCTCTACTATTCATAATAAACAACTCGTAAAATTCATCCCTCACTTTTAAGATGCTTAAAAATACAGAAATCTGCAACATCATCAATGATAAATGATCCTAAAAAGATTGGACGAATCACTTTCTGAAACATTTACAAAGCAGCGATGCAACAGCAGTCTGGCCATACGATCGTGTTACTTATGGTATGAAGAATGTGACACCCAACAAAGCTTGAATCTTCAAGATCAAACTATCATTACATAAACAACAAAATCTTGACACAACACGTAAAACAGCAACCTACATGATGGAAATTATAAACCCACATATAAAATGAACATATGTACAAAATATTAAAAAACTCTTTAACAGAATATCATTCCTTAAATTGTGAATAACTTCTTATCAATTTGTTCTAATCTTTAATAAAAGGCTGCTTATAACGGAGAGGCAAAAACAAATTATGAAGTTCCCATCATATAGATCTTCCGTCCTGTGAAATTTCCTTCATGGCAGTAGTTACCCTCGGTAACAAAAGGAAAATGTTCACAGCTACTACTACACAGGGGAAGGACACAGTTACAGCTCCATCAAGTTCCATTCATTCTCACGACAAGACAACCATTCCCGACTAAAATCATCAGTCCGTTACAAAAAAAGTATTTATATTGGCAATAGTGAGGGTAGCATAACATGTGTGCATCTAGACTTTGCTGTTTGAAATTTTGTTGAACATTTCTACAGATTTTCAAACTTCAAGTTGGCAGTAAAAATTATGGCTGCAAATATACATACTTAATTATTGAAGGATTATAAAAAAACTCAAGAAACTGAGGACAAAAAAAAAAAACTGGAGGGAGAAGGAACGCAACTTGACTGGTAGGATTCACCGCGTGTCTGTACGGCTTGCTCTTACTTCCTTCTGGCGTTTAACTGAAACAGAGGAATAAATACAAGAACTGTTAAGGACATGCATACCAAGAGCTTGTGGTTTTACTAGTACAAACAAAGATATGGAAATGTTTTACTTTGTATGAACTTCGAAAGCAGAACATTATATTTATGAATCATGGTCGTGTGTCATGGCAATGAATACACCAAATCCCATACGCATTACATTAAATTCAATATGCAAGGAACATCTGTAAAGACTGAATATCGCTTGACTTACGGCTTCTAAACTCATACACAGTTATACGTACAAATGTAATTCTATTTTGCATACTTTATATGGTAAGACAGGCTAATGGTCTTATGTCCCACCCTAACAACTTACAAACAGGCACATTTTTTCTGAAACTTGGTATGAACATCATGCCACGCAACAGCTACAACATTTCACAATCATCAATAACAATAACATGGCAGTCATGCAAATTTCTGAGGTCTAAGTAACACATTTTAATGTCCAACAGCCAATTCAGTGGCCGAGGTTTCTGCACAAATTACTACTGGCCAAACTAATAACTTATATTCTTGTTTGCTTTTAATTACTACCTCATCTACATCTCTTCTAATCACTGCAGTGAATACATGAAACTTACTCTCACGTGTTCAGACGTCATGCTGTTGGGGTCCTCTGCTTATTCTACATCATCCACACTATCATATTACAGATCACTTTTCTCTGCATATTCTCCTACTTGCATATTTTCTAATTTTAACAACAAAGGAGAAAAAATTTCAAACGTGAAAAATCTAATTTCTAGTAAGTAGAGATTTTGCCTCAATGCTGATATTATAAGAGTCAATATAGGGTCCTAAAATTTCACATAATAATTTCAATACATGAAGCTGAGATGTCATCTAAACACTCTAGCTGTTTTGTTTCCAGTATACTTAGGATAGGACGCCAGCTTGTCTGCATGTGGCAGAAAGAAAAATCCCTGCCTTTGCCACAGTTTAAACCACGTTATCCAGTCAGTCATTTTAATGACTGAACTATGAACTATCCCAGCCCATAATTGTATTTCATCTTATACAGATCACAATACAGCTAACCAGTAATACTTCAAGTTCATGTTTTCATCAAAACAAAATAGGGTTCAATATGCCATCTGTTTCTTTATGTAATATAAGAAACAAATAACAATTTGCCACATCTTTATGGCAAAGTGTCAATATGATGTTCATTTTGAGATGCACAAACCTGTTTACTAAAATGATTTTTTTTTAACAATTTCATAAAATTTTGAGCTTAAAGTCCATAATGAAGTTGCAATTATTCAGTTTCGTTACTCAACAGTAATTTTTTAAATTAAAAACTGAAATTCACATATTTTCTATACACCCGTTTTGCTCCGACCCCCTTCATAACACATCACCACCGAATGCTACAACAACATTCTGAGTAAGTAATAAGAAAGACGATAATTAAACTTGCTTCTCCTCGTACCTACAAACATAAAACAGATGCATACTACACTAGTTCAACAGTCATTCAACAGGAGATGACCAGTAAAGGAAAATTTATACATAAATGAAGAGAAACAAACTTTTATACTATCAAAGATTTCACTGGCATCCAGCATAGAAAAGAGAGAGAAACAGAGACAGGGCCATGCACTGCAGAATACATGTGTGCCAACATCCAGCGTGCAACACCACAACATACCTCTCTGATGAAACTGCCACCATCTACTTCCAGCTGAAATGCTTCTAATTTCCAGTATTTATCAAATCACTGGCAGGTTATACCATTCTGATGAGTTAGTAAAACTGCAGAATGGGAACATGTATCACGAACCAAAACAAAGTAACAAAGCCTCGCATATACAGGGTAACTGGAATTATCTACAACAGATATCTTCCTCTCAATAAAACTTTGAAGAACTCTCTTGCAATCAATTTTCAAATTTTAATGCAAGTGTGCATCTCTGGGTATTGTTCTGGTTCTGTTCAGACTATCCCATTATTTCACAAACTACCTAACACAATTTTGCTTTGTAAAATTTTGCTGCATCACAAGAATTACATTTACAGTTCACCAATTTTTAAATCATAATTCATTAGGTCATGAACAGAAGGCTACCAATTCAAGTTAACATGTTTTATTATTAATCTGACAACAAAAGAAAATACAACTGACTTGGTTTATCTGTCATCATGCAGATGTCATATCAGATCAAATCACACATGTGGACTGGAAAGGTAATGGGGCAGTAGGACAATAATGCAAGTCTGGGTGAAGTACACATTTAAATTTGAGATTCTTTGAAGAACAAAAGCCTCCACACATTTTCTTGTATCTGCACAGGCACTCAAAGGTAGGCAAATCTATATCCTTGCTCCTTTTTCATTTATGTCAATCACCTTTACTAGTCTCTCCTCATTAAATTAAAGTATATAAGCGCACACGCACACATGCACATGCACGCACTGAAGGCAGCCAAGTATTTATCCAGCAGCTCTCTCACACCCACAAGCCTGAAGGCCTTACTTTATGGCCTTCATGGAATCACAGGAGAAGCACACAAGACAGTGGATTTCATTTGGAACTTATATATTAAAATAGATATCATACCGAACCCCTTTTTCTCAAAATTGTGATATTGCACTACCCCTCTACACAAGATATGGTCCATTACATCCTACCTATCAAAACTTCTACCATCAAACAGGAAATGTGGTCATTCATACTGTATTACGGACCATGGCAGCATTATACTAAAAATAGTGTTATTCAGAAGCTGTATACATCTATAAAAAAACATGGAACCTACTTTAAGAAACAAACAGAATTTTGTCACTTGTTATTTACTGTGAAAAGTGAATCGGACTCTCCAATACTGAAATTAAAATTCACATCTTGCTCCCAAAATACTCTAACATAATAAGAAAAGAAAAATTGTGGGAAAATATGCTGTTCATACCACTGATATTGAAACTAAAAGGCATTTATTTCATACTAAAACTATATTTAATCAAAACCTGACCATGCAAGGTTTGGAAATACAGTAAAACCTCAACAGAAGAGCAGGTGAAGTGAAACTAATATAAGAGCCTTCTCTGTGGACTTACTTAATGCTGTATCATTCAGACCATTGAATACACATACCTAGACTTCAGTGACAGATACTAAGGCATGACTCGACACCCACTTTCATAACTCCACACAGCATATCAAGTAATAAGATACTTTATACGTTATGAGTTCATCAACATTAGATACACAGCCATTCCCAAATCTGCATTATTCAGTGTATGTAACTGAGAATTTTACGGATTAACTTGTGAATTTTGGAAAGAGCATTTGTATCCTCGACAGGAATATGAGTCTGGTATCTGAAAGTGAATCTTAAATAAAAATGGTCAGAGAGTGTGGACTGGACTCAACTAGTACAGGAAAGGTTCCAGTGGTGGGGTCCTGTCAACAGCGTAATTAACCATCTGGTTCCATAACTGATAGAAAATCAGACATACTGAGTGACCATCAGCTTCTCAAAGACTGCTCCATGAAGAAAAATTGTCTAAATATTGCCTGATTATATTGTAAAAAGTTTGCATTATTTTATTTTATTATGGATTCTGAGTTTGGACTGTGGGAGAAAGCTGTTACACCAATTTTATGGCACCATTCCAGTATCAGCCCAGAAGGAATGAGTAAAATCATGAAACATTTCATCCAGGCTTTGGGCATGATTTGAATCCAGGATCTCCTGAACAACAGTTGGCAAAGGTTTTGTATCTGTCCTCATATGCTAAATATTCTCAGGTTTGGGAGAGAGATTAAATGTTTTCTAACACTTGCAAGAGTTTTGTTATGACCCACAACAGAGTATCCTGGTATGTGAATTGTTCCAAAATGAGTTGCAGTCATTCAAGTGAGGGATTTTAGAAAAATTCACATATTCTGAATTCAAATTAAACAAGTCAAACTTTTCATGTTCACAAAGAATGCTACAGAACTTTACATTTACAAATCGCACATCCTAACTTATGCTCAAAGTCTTTCTACATACAGTTCCTGCTACAATGTTTGGGACAGTAAGTAAAATAGCTTGAAGAGTAAGGGTAGATCAGGTACAAAAAACTGCCTTGTGCCTTGTTTACTGGTCACAGATACAATGCAAGCTTTGCTTGTACTTTGCACATTCACAAATAAATGTTTTAAAATATCCATTCAACATGTGGAAGCATGACACTTGCTGGAATGGTTCACACACACTTTTTGTATGACTACTGATAGTATCACCAGTTATTTTGTTAGCATGTTATTATAGGATGAGAATATATGTCATATAGAATATCTTGAAGGCATCAATGGACTAGACAGTGAGTTAACTGCTTCACAATCGTTTACAATTTTTTTGTTCTGTTTATTATTCCTGAATTAGTTGGTAACTAACAAATGACAAGAGGAGTCATGTTTTCACAAGTAGCAACATTACTAGAACACATTTATTTTCTCTGACAGGATAGGAGTGTCTGTTTACTTCAATACGAAGCAATGTGGGATGAAAAACAGCATGAGACAGTGTCACATATCCCAAAGGCGAGGGCAGAATGCAAGCTATAATATGGAATAACTGGATAACAATATTATAATCTGGATATACATATATATGTATGTGCATGTCATGTGTTGTCTGTGAACTAGGGTACATAATGCATTTGAAGCAAGACATGAGGTTTCAAACACTGTCCTGTTTAACATAAAACACAAAAAATGGGAAGTACTGACAATGCCTTAAACAATAAGAAATTTAAAAAATGAGAATAGCAACTACATTATGGAAAATAAAATTCTTTCTAAATAACAACCTTTTCATGGGGTTTGGGTAGGGGGGAGGAAAGAACAAATAAACATTGTTACATAAGGCCCTTCAAAATCTTAGCCCTTCAATATTCTCAATCATGCTCACTGTGATAAGCCTGCTCATCATACATTACCATGCGCTGGGAATGTCAGCAATGACATGAACTATCTGTTCCATTTTTCATCATTATTAATTATGTGAAATATTGTGACATTCTTCAGCCCACAAAATTTATTATCTCACCATTTGGTGCTTCACTGTGCTTCAACCTTGGAAAGATTTACTTTTGCAGCTGAATGCAAACAAGGCAATGTGTCAGAACTATGATCAATCTTCCTTGTACCTGTGTATGGTTGAAGCACATGACCAAGCTGTATTATCACAGCTGTATCCAGTCTGTTCTGTTTACCCATAAAAAAAGTCTTTACATATGCTTGCTTTATACACTGCTACCCTGAGACCATAAACTACACAATTACTTCTCAAACCAATACCATAGCCTCCCATAGTAGCAGCAAAAGATCAGCTGGACTCCCAAAGTAAAGGCAAAATTCATGAATTACAATTTGGAAATTATGAAATACTTTTTAACAGAATTGTTTAAGATACAATATGTAAGATAAGCTACTTCTCAAAACCATCATAAAATCAAAGGATCAAGAACATAACTACTGGCCTGAAAACTAGTGACAATAGATAAAATTTATGGTGTGTTTTGCATGTTCATACTAACGAAGATGTTGGCCTTCGCTGCAAATGCTCTGGATAAATCACATCCTCATATTTTGCTGTGTGTGGAAGTTACAGTAATTTCAGTCCAAAAATTAATTTCTTAGAGAATTTGAAGACCCCCACCTAAACTACCCCCATATTTTTTAACTGATTTGAATCCTACAGTTGCTGGGGGATGAACTACAAGGGGGAAAAAGATAGTAAAGATTAACTTTCACCACTCTTAACCCTGCAAACTGCTCTAGATACAAGGGCAACTGTGGTTTTACTGTACCTCTGCACCTTACACTTCACTGCAAAAGCACAGCTAGAGTGATGTACCTAACTAGAGACTACTCCATCCATCCATCAATCCATCCAAACATTATCGCTAAAACAGTTATCTTTAGAAGATAAAAATAGGTTATCATATGGTAAAGGATCTGAACAGGTTATGTTACAGGGAGAGCAACTTTCATCTTGCATCTTAAACTCATCATGGTTGGGTTTCACTGAACAGTTCTTATTCTTCTCTTTCACCATGCTCTTCATACTTTCTCCAACCAGTATACAAACACAGTCTGATAACTGGGCAGAAAACAATATTTACTTTTTCTTCAGTGTGAAGAAGCTCCTACGCTTTGGTTCATCCTTACGGTCACCAGAAGCTGGGAGTGTCTGCGAACGTGAAGGGCCTGCTGACCCCTGGAGGTCACACTGTACACTTATACGTTGCACCCAGTCATTCATCTCTGCATCATCACGTGCCTGGAAAAGGTACTCTGCCCCATTTGCCAGCCTAAAAAATTATGACAGGCTTATGTTATCTGAGGAAAATACACACAAACCAAAAGATAGAAAAGTAATATGAAGACTGTAAAGAAATCATGAGTAGCTTAGAATAATGTAACCAGTGATATTAAGATGGTCTTCATATGTAGCAAAAATGGGAGAAATGAGACAGTATCTCTACCTGGTTGAACAAAAAAGGCACACTATTTCAGAGTCTACCACTACTGAGTGTGTTTTAACTTTACTACTCATTCAGGCCACACAAACAATATTCTAAAATAGTGACTCACTTGATTCTGAAGACATGTTTCTTCTTTGTGTAGTCATCAGCTACCTTGGTGGACCCACCACGTAGATCCACAGGACTCTCCCCTTTGAAGTAGACCTCAGGGGCAGCCTTGTAACTCTTCTGGTCTTTGTAGAATATGAGTAAATTACCCCTTAACACCACGTACAGCTTGTCCCATGACCTGTGTAGACAAGTAATGGCAGAATTCACTATCAAATCACTTCAACTGAAACATACCGAAACCCGTCTTCTCAGCCAGCTCTGGGCCATGATTTAAACCTGGTATTTCCAGAATATGAAGCAGGAGTACTAACTACTTAACCATTACATTCAATTGTACTTATGCAGCTTTGCATTCAACTCACCTATTTGATGCCTTCTTTGTGGTTGACTCCCACTCATGCTTTCGAGTCAAAAGGCCTTCATGTTGATCCTCTTCTGCACCGGGGCTTGGCCGTTCTGCAAGATAGTAATCACAATATATAATATAATCAACATATTACTGTAAGTGATGGTTATACATTACTGTGGTAATGAACATTTATTTGGTAAGAAATATCCACTATAAACTTCAATGCACGTTCAACATAGGTATGAGAAGACACATTTAAGTAGTTTCTAAGAAAATGAACAACTGCAGATAAAGGAGAGGTACTGGTGACTGGCATGGCAGTAGAAGTAGCAGAAGAGGACGACGACATGGTGGCGGTGGAGGCAGCCATTGTGCTGGTGAATCAATGTGAAAGGAAAGAATGACATATATGTGACTAGAATGTCCAACATGCTTATGTACAATCAAATTCCTTCTGATTATAATTTTATGAAAAGCAACACAAACATTAATACCAACATAGTAATACATTAGACCCAATAGTTCAACATTTTGTGCTGGTCACAGGAAACAGCATCAGTACCAGATAGGATGTCTGTAAACCTGCAACTCAATCATATTCAAAGCACATCACAATCAATACAGTAATGTAAGTACAAAGTAGCCGCATGTCGACAGCTGCATCTGAATAAAGATGAAAAGTAGTTTCTGGACAAACAAAAGGTAAATTATTTCAAACAAAATATGAAAAATTCTTGAAGATTCTTCAAGGTCACCTTCTGCCATATGTCACTTTACTTCAGATACAACTTTAATCTAAAGGCACTGTATTTTACTGACAACACAACAGAAAAAGCAACAACATAAATATTAACAATATTCTGGTACTATTCCAACTAGAATACTTCAACACACATACAATACCACATTTGTGCAAGTCCAAGGCAAAAGTCAGTCCACTTAAATCTCCAGAGAAGTGTCCTATGCATTCACTGACAACGCTCACATGTACAAATTTAAATAATGTGCAATTTGTCTACTGCATGTACATACTGTATAGATAATAATTTTAACCCTTTGAATGCTATCAGACAGTGCATATAGAAACTGTACTTCCTTCTTTCAGAATTCCATTCCAAGACAACTGTCTGTGATGAACCACATGCATGTTGGCCAAGTGCCACACTAGCATACCACTAAACTGTTAATCCTGGAGGTGAGTGCAGCCAGCAGCCACATAATACAGGATCTATACCTCTTACTCCCATATGATAAAAGTTCAAAATAAAATCATGAGTATCATGTCTGGATATTATTATTTGTGGTTTACACCTATGGAAGCTGGGAGTTCATCACTTTCTTAACACATAAATCATAAATGTACCACTAACTATATTTTATAAAACTGTGGTTTGTGTCACAAATTTAGTTAAATACGAAGACAATGTAAGGTACGAAATTAATGTGCATACCATACATGCAACAAAAATTTCAAGGCCAAATCCAAACTACGTACATACATTATGGGAGCATCTTAATTATCAACATCAAAAACTTAGCTGAGTTGTGGAGGTATAGGAGTTCAAAATTCACAGTTCAATCACAGATACCTCTACAACTACAACAAAAAAGATGACATAAAATTACTTTTATAAATTATATACAATCACCACAATCAATAAACAATCTGTACATTGCATGCACTGGAACATGTTCTCTCGAAAACAAAGTCTATGAAACAAGAGTCTGAGAAGACTTGGGTAGTTGAGAAATTTCTGACTTTTGTGGAGTTGAAATTCTCTTGACATTTTTTTACATAAATGAAACCATCAGGTTGAATTATTTAAACCTCTAAACATAATGGTGCCATTAACAGGCTGGATAGTATAATAAGAACTTAATATGTTCTGTCTTACTGCACCAAGATATCATATTAGCACTATGTACTTGGTGGTGGACTATGGCCTACAGTAAATACTACATTACAAATATCTATTTGGAGGGCACAACTCATCAATCATTTATAGTGTAATTAAATGAAAGAGGAAAAATGTTTGTGAACTTTTCCAAGAGCTGCAAAATGACACCATATTTATCAGAGCACAAGCAGATATATGAGGAAGATGTCGGCAGAGATTTGTCCTGGTATATGCACTCAATCATCACACAGAGAATATGAAAGGTACCAGAATCTGTTTAGTGTCATAATATTATCTGAACTCCCCACTCAAGATAACTAAATTTGAAAAGCAATAAGTTTTGTGATTGATTGGGCAAAATATTCTCAAAAATTACAGACATGATTTAGGAAAACAATGGTGTCAAAGCCACGCACTGGGCTGCAATGTACTAAACAACACAGGTGTTTGGTATCTGATCAAGATTATCATCACTGTGCTTACACAACTTCCCTCTCTCCAGAATTAACTCCTGCTGATTACTACTTGTTCTTTTTGAAGGGATGTACATAAGTCAGCATAACAGCAACACCTAAGATTAAACAAAAAGTCTTACAAACAAAAAAAAGTTTGCAGCTGTGTTTCCAGTAGTGGCATGGGCATTGGTAAAAATGTGTGACAGTAAAAGGAAATTATTTCAATGGCAGAATTTCCATGTCAACAAGCTAACAGACACGTTCACAAACATTTTGACTCTTATCACACAGTTGCCATATTATTGCTTACATAATTTCTATATTGCCACCAATTATTTGGAGAACTACATCACTTACTGCAGTGCCACTATCTACATGGTGGACTACCTCACTTTTCCATCAACACCTCACCTGCAGCCCGTTCCAAATTTGCTTCATCATCACTATGTGCCCCAGCACCTGCAGTTGGGCTTTTAGATCCCTTCTTCCAACGAAAGCTCCGGAATGGAGACTTGGAGCGAGAACGGTCCTTCTTGCGATCCAGAGAAGCCGATCCTGACTCCTTAGTACTAAGTCGGGGAGCTGTTGAATTTTCACAGTGTAGCACAGAATAATGAAGCCATGCTTTGCAAACTACATGGTACAACCACTGCTTGATACATTAATCTGTTTCAGTATCAGTACAAAAATCCATTGAGCTGAAGAAATATGAGTATTTAAATCCATAAAATTTAACTGATGTGACTACAAGGAACTGAAATATATACTGTTGTAAAGAAAAACAGCAATCAGACCACATACTATCCATCTGGCAAAGAATAACATTATCTCCTTTATGGAGTGGTTGTTCCACAATAGATTGGGCATGGCAAATGTACTTACAGTGATAAGAGGTTTTAAGAGAGAAATCCTGTGTTAGAATGATGAAAACCAAAAGAGATGCAGGCAAAACAAGCCAATACAAATGAGTAGGGAGGGAGAAAACTAGTAATGTACCATGCAATATTATGAAGAGACAACTGATACAACAAGCAAGCTAAAGTAATGTAAACTGTGTCTGCATAATGGACCCACATGTGTACCCCAGCAAATATTAATAATTATCCAAAAATCACAAACCCTTGCTTCCAGAAAATCACATTCGTTCATTTAAATGGCACTTTTGATCTCACTTTATGACAAGCTGTAACAGGCATTTTAAGCATGTCCTCTAAACCAATGTACTATTTACACACACGCTGATTTGCATTTCTGGTTGAATTTTCACCATGTTAAAAAAACTTTTTTTGGATTGGCCTTTTTAACATTTCATACAGTCCACTTCTAGCTGCAGATTCAATTTCCATGCGCAACGAGACACTGATCAACATCACAATCATAAAAATATAATTTTTACAGACAAAATTAATATTTACATGAAACAAAACAAGAAAGCATAAGGTTATTAAATCATGACAAATTATGAACGGGCAGTGCTCTTTAATATGTATTATGCCCAACAGCAAACACTGCAAACTGTTTTCATTAAATGTATGCAGATCATAAATAGGAAACCTCAACTATTTCTGCCTGTTAGTCAAATACTGATAAGTAAAAAAGTAAAGCTGTCCCACTATACGCGATGTAGGCGTTTGGGGGGAGAGGAAGTATAGCTCCTACTCATTCTTGACCTCGGCACTAGATGGGGGAATTTTATATGGGAATATTTAATTGAAACAAAAGCAATAAAAGTCCAATTTAAGATCACTCTATAACTTTACATGAAGACTGACTAACACTTCTCTCTGGCTTGTTAAATATCTATCAACTTGAAAACTTACTCGGATACAAGGGGGAATATGCTATGTCATGCTAATTTTAAGACACAATTAAGGGCTTGCATAAATTTTAAATTTTTCAGAGTAATAAAGCAAAATGGATGATCTGTAATCACATATCCTTCCACTAGTTTCATCTTGTGTCTGAGAGGAGAAAAATCTGCACATTCTTTAGTTTTCACAAGTTTCTTTTCAAAATATGCAGAATGATAAAGCAGTTCGACTGAATTCATATCTGAAATAAATCACACTACACAAAGATGAAAACATCTGGAAATTTTACAGCATGTCAAGACATAACCAAGTTGGATTAATACATGACCACCACACAAAAGAAGCTGGTAACAATATTTATACTTACTTATATTACTTTATTTCCACTACATGTTTTGTTTCAAGTGAACCATCAACAGGTGGACAGTCAAGGCTAAAAATTGTTACTACATAACATTAACAAATGAATCTAGTGGTGGGGGTTCTCTCACTACATTTCACAATATAGTGAAAATTCACAATTACAATGGAAATTACTAATTTCTTTACTTTATTCTAAATTATTCCATGCTAATAAAAACATGGTAAGCAATACCTCCCAAAAATTTGACCTGAAATTTTTACAGGCACAGAAAAAAAGTCTGATATCACAAGATATAAACAAATTAGCAGTTCGATGAGAACCAGTCTGTAGACACAGTTTCAACAAGTTCAGGCACACTGTGTTACTTACTGGATGCTGCTGAGGAAGATGGTGTCTGGCTTCCTGGTGAGCTCAGATGCGAGGTTGAGCGCTCTCGAACTCCCTCAACTGGCTGTGTGTTTGCAGAGTCTTCAGCAACTGGCAAGCTGAGACTGGGCACATGCACTGGCAGAACAACAACCAGATCTCATGCAGCAACACAACATGCAGATCATGCCAACGTGCACAATGCTTACTATGACCATGCTGTTTCTCAGCACAACTATATTTTTTGAAAGCAGTTTGTACTTTGCAAACAATCTATTCTAATGCAGACAAAGGATCAGTGTTCTTACAGACTGTATTTGGAAAAGTATTTCAAACATCTTGTTTGTTATATTTTGACTTCATGCCTTCTTGATGTGGTCTCTGATCATCATGGCATTTGTCCACCTGACTAAGATCAAGTAAAAATCCCAATTTTGTAATCAAAGGACTCAGCAAACAGGATTTCCATCTTACTCCCAATTACAGGATCAGTCAACATCAAAGGAGACTGCAACTTAAGGTGGAATCCAAACTATGCTGAGGGCCCACAAATATCAAATCATAAACTTCTGACTGTGGCAAAGTCAATGGAAGGGGGAACAAGTGCCAACACCTTTACAACACATTTGGCTGGCCTTTTATATATGCTACATTCACCAGATCAGATGACCACAGTAATATCTGGTGCAGAATACTATGGAGCTCCTCACTATGCAGTTTCAGTTAACTGGCCATATTATCATTCTGCATTTTTAAGTTAGGCTCAGAGACAAGACAGACCTCCCTCTGTTTACTTTCATCACAAACTAAAATACAAGCTGTGCAGATAATGAAATACGGTAGTCCCTGCTATAACGTGGCTCTCGGGACCAAAATCAAGAGACTGAATTAAAAAATGACAAGGCACAAGCTTTTGAGGCTTAAAATTAAGCTGTATTAAAAAACTTTTCACCAGTGTCTGGGTAGATAACCAATTTCTGGGGTGCAAAATAACATACTTTAAAATAAGTCAAGAAAACAGCCAACTTTTGGGGTTCAGAATGAATCAGCATTATACTGAATTCTATGAAGAGAACCACATTATAGAAGGATGCCAATATTTAGTGTCCAAAAACAATATATACACATTATAATGCAGAATATTAACCTTGTCAACTGTGCCATGAAGCTAAGAGTTGTCATTTTTAACACCTACAAAGGATTAGCTATATCACTAAGTGCCAATGCTCATGTACATAATTGTTTAGTTTATTTCATTCACTGAAAGTGTGTTTATACATCTTTTTGGGACACACTGTACAATCATAACAAAACTAGGTGGCACATTACCTGATGCAAAAATCTGGTTACCGTCACTGCACTTACCTTGAATCACAAGCACATAATAAGCACAACTACACAACCTATTAGCTATAAAGTAAAGTGGGTTAGTTATCCAGGAAGGAAAAAAAAGTATTAATATCACTGTGCTGCAAGCCAGCGCTCCTAAGGGTGCAAAGAAAATGAAGTACAATATATGACACTACAGTAGAACCTCTCTTATTAAACTTAAACAATATATTTTCAATGTTTGATAATTATTTAAATATAAAATACCATTTTCTATCAAAATACCTGTCTATAAATTTGCCATACAATGTGTAATGTAATGGATTAAATATTATATATATATGCACTGGAATGCACCGTGATGTCATTAATTTTGGTAGATTGTTGAAAGTTTTTAGTTTCTGACACTATGATGTAAATCATGGATAACCAATCAAACACAAGTCTTTATATTCAAAACCAACCATGGATCAGCCTTTAAGGGCTGGTGGTGTCTTTACAGAATTAAGTCAGTTAACAGAGGATCCACTGAAATGAAACAAACACACAGAAAAGACCAGAATCAGTTCAGACAATGAACACCACTCCCTGTTCCAGAAAGTCGCAGGAACCTAGGAAAGAATATTAAGTATGCGTTCACCCTCAAGCCAGTAACACCTGCACCAAGTTCTATGCAACAGTATCTTCACCTTAAGCACATATCCATAAAACTCCTGCAAGAAAGTTAGTAAGAACATGAAATACAAGCAGAAGTGTTTACCAGCAGCTGTCAGCAGCATATCACCAGACAAAACACATTTATAAGCTTATGGCATGCTACCTTCTTGATGGATTTTTATAGCCACTTTCATTGTGTAAATGTCCTACATACAGTGAAACCTCATTTATTTTCCTGGAATGTGTGTTTTACCATATTTTACATTTTCATCAGACCCACTGATTTTCCCCATTCCGGTGATTTCAGTTCTTGCAAAATATGTAGAAATTCCTTTACATTTCCAGTTTTGTGCAAATTTATCTGTCACACTGGTTAACTTTTCTTTACAACTATTGGCTAATCTTGAATGTTGGTCACCATCTTGCATCATTTTAGTTTTTGATGTGCAACTCTTTACAAGTTAGCTATTATTTCTATTTAATCTGTTGGCTGAATCTACTGCAAGCACTGCAGTCATTTTATTTAAAATGTGTACTTCACAAATCACATCGAAACAAGCACAGCAAAATAACAGATCACTTTTTTAAGATGCAAATACAATATTTACTACTGTACCTACATTGTGAGATTTCAGGTTCTCATGAAGGCAAGTAGGCGGTTCCTGCCTCCATCACTGTTCTGATGATGGAGGCAGGAAGCACCTTTGAAACATTATTCAATTGCAATGAGCCTACAAAGAGCAAGAAGATGGCCATCTCTTTACCAACATTATTTGCTACGTATTCTAATAATGACTAAGGTGAAGGTTGGTAAGATGGTTATGATTTTTGAATTTCCTGCAATTTACAGTTTATTAAGACTTCCCAGAAAAGCATAAATAAGAAGTTCCACTGTATTTACCATAACAGAAAACCCACTAATCCACCAAATTTCTGAGAAACTACTCATTATGATTGAATTAGAACATTTCTAAGAAAAAGAAGTGTGTTTGCTACAATGTTCCTACATATATATGTGACCATTCACTGTAAATGGTATTATGTTTCTATTTTATCATAATAAAAGTAAGTTGGATGTTTATTAAATCTTGTATGTCCCTAGCCCTTTACATCACTGTTAATGCTAAACATTTCTGGCCTAAAAAAATAAATTAGCCCTTCACGTGTAATATATCCTGTAAGTATGTTTGGTATTCTTAAGAAACAACTCACCATATATGTTGTTTTTATATCTAACCCAATGTTAGTGCTAGAGATTAAAAAAACACCTGACAGTGTTAATCTATATTTAAAAGTACCCATTCCCAATAAATGTTTTACATTTGTAACCTACCCTAACAAAAATGAACTACATTTATAAAAATACTGTACTGTCCTTCATTTCTAACACTGTGAATCCTCCACATTACCCAATTAAGCATTCTACATTCACAATAAATTCTGTTAGCGTTATTCTAAATTTCTACAAAACTACTCACTGTAAATGTTTATTAATTATAGTCGAGAACTACTACTGCCCTACACTTATAATGTTCAATCCCAATCCTTCATAATTATTAACATGACTAACACAATCACTGTGCTGCTTAAGCAATGTAAGCATGGCAAGGCAACAGATCACATTTTTGCCAAGTCTGCTGCAAACAGTCACCAGCCAAGCCAAGGACAACAGGAGGACTGACTCACCTTCCCGGGCAGCGGGCCGGTCCGACGGCGTCACTGCCTTGGTGGAAGGTTTGCGAGTGGCTGGAGGTTACCAATCACAGCATGTAGACGTGGTAGGAGTAGGGTGGGGTGGAAGAGACAGAGAAACAGACTGTGGTCATCACATGCAATACATGCCAAGAGCCACATTCCACAAGCCACAGCAGCGGGTAGCCCCAGTGCCAGGCAGTATAGGAATGCACCCCTGTTGCAAAAACCCTACCACAAACAGTGCTCGCACAACTACGGGGATATTGCACCTAATATGTTTTTAAAACAAACTCAATTTAATTCAAACAAATAACCTTAAAACTATCACAGACTTTTTGAGGCACTCTCCTGTCCCTATTCAGTAAGAAGTTTCAGTTTGTAGGCTCGGGAATATCAAAATTACATGTTCATGTCATACCACAAAATTAACATTCTTGTGCTATCAACAAATACATGTTCTTTGCAACTTTACATAATTCTAGAATATTATATAATACCTATAGTACCCTTTATATATATGAGACAGGACCGTGCACAGAAACACACAGATAAAACTACATTATTCATCTCCCAACTGTACCAATCAACTCCATAGTCTCTCTCAATATCTATGCAAAGAAAATGGTCATTTAGCTAGTCAACCAGTTGCTGCCTTTTAAGGAATTTGGAGGAGTATTACTATGTTCTAAAGAGTCAACCACTGATCATGGTCCTGAGCCAGATAAATCTAGTACTACTTATGAAAACCAGCGTATTTGGATAATTATTCAAAGAACTGAAGGCAGACATTTTCTTGAGGTCCAAAGAGGGTTGTACAGATTTAATCCTGCTTAACAACATTATTTTAAAAAGAACAGACTTTCATCCACAGCACAAGAATGTTACTATTTAAGAATATGCCTTGACACTAGTCAATAATAAAATTCTTCTTCATATCAAGGACAACATAAAAATTATACTTTCAAGTATACATCAGTTTCCCACAAATTTTCTTATATGTTAAGCAATATTTCATGTAGGCATGCTCAATTTTTCAGTCATCATTTATGGCAGGAGGAATGGTATGTAAATCTGTTTATAAGAAATAAAAATAAGGAGTGACATTACAGACCACTAAAATTTCCAAATCCAAAGGTATTACAATGTTATGCCTATTCACCTGCCCAATGTCACTACAACACACATGTAGGTCGAAAGTGTTAAACTGAAACTCTACTCCATGACTAACCACTTCAATCCCACTGACCTGTCTCTCATAACAAGGGAAACATTGATGGTAAGCAAAGTGTAAATGGCAGGGTCTCTATGCCAAGAAAAGTAAACATAATACATGCATTTTACATGGACGGAAACAATATAATGAAAATGAATAAACAAAACCAAATTCAATAAATAACCATGCAGAATGGAGATAAATTTTCTGATCACAGATTTTGGTACATGTAACAAAAAATAATCTCAAAAGAAATCTACACAACAAAAGCATAATACTGTGTCATTTAAGTTCATTACTTATTTAAAAATGAAAAGAAACCATACCAAAATTAATCAAATAATAAAGAAGAAATGGATTGCTCATGTGTTTTAAATATTCTTCTGTTCACCAAAATGCCAGTGCAGTTCCAGTCTGTTTGCAGGTAAGCACACAAATGTGCAGCTGGTGACAATAAGGAGCTATTGTATTAATATAGTCCTTATGGCAAGCTATTTGAGACCTTAGGCAACATAAGAACCTGCAGGCATTCAACTTTAACTTTCCAGTTCCACAGTTTAGAAGCAAACACTTGGAACAAAGAAACGGCATACCATGTAACTGCAGTGTCTCACCTTCTCGTGTTTCTGCCTCCTTTTCACCATTCAGCTGTACCTGTTCTGTCTCTGGTGATGCCTCGCCATCAATCCTGCAGGTAATAACATTAATATAATGAACTACAATTCAAAATCCACTAATAATGGCCGAACTGAAGTCTTACAAAACTGTCTGCAGAAAGAATTGCTCATGATATATATGAAGCTGGAGAATTTCCTATAGATCAAAAACATCTAGGTTGAAAAATGTTCCAATACTCTCCCTCCCATTTGATTGATTTGTATTCAGGACATATTTTGCTCTGTAGACGTTTACTAAAATTCAAAGTAAATCCATTTTCATCTAAAGACTAATACATAAACATAAAAGCATTTAACAAATATAATTTTCCTCTATTAATGTGAAGCACAACCTTCACCCAAAATAAAATAAAAAATGGGGACTGAGAAAAATATAGTACCTTTCACTTGGCTGATCCTCTGGGGAGCTGGGTGGGGGCGTCTGTTTGGCAGCCAGTTCTTCCTGACGTTTCCGCTCTTCTTCCTCTTCTCTTCGTTTCAGTTCTTTCAACTCGAACTAGAGATACAAATTGGAGGTTTTAGAATTACATTTTCTGAATTTAAACACATAGCAAGGACTGCAAGCCACACTGGAATAGTCAAAACCACATGATATGTCAGTCTTCCAAGACAAGACCACACAATTTAGGTTTCTTCCATATAATACAGATAAGAAAATTTATAACTATACTTGGGTTAATGATGACAATGATTACACCACTGGTACCAAAACTTTCCCATCATTGCCACTGCTATGTTCACACTAATAACTTCAAAACATAATTATATTACACAAAAGCAAAATCAAGCAAGGGCAGCTGGCCAAGATCAAGCTTTAATTCAACTGTCCATTTATTCTGCATTAAATAGTTAGAAAGACTGCATTACTTCACACAAAAACAAATCTATGTAGATTACACACAATACAATCAGCAAATCTCCAAATCCTTGTTACATATATTCAATCAGCACATATTCTTTGCCTCACAATAGGAAATACTGCCTGCTCAGATTAAAACCTGTATGATTCTTTTAAAAAAATGAGATTATCAAATTTTGCATACGAAGCTGTACAGTCAACGTTGTCCTCAGTCTGATTAAAACATCAATCCAAATATTTGTGGAGATTAGGAAATTAACAGCAAGCTGGAACAAATGCATCAATATGCAAGCAAGCAAACTATTCTTACAACTGCAGCCTGAAAGTTGCAATTGTAAGATCAGCAAAAAGCAAGTTTCTGAAAATGCACCAATGCCACTTCATTATTTGAAGCCAAAAATGGTGTGCTGTCCTGTTACTCCAAGGTGGCTCTAGTATGTCTGGGCAGTAGAAAGAAACATGAGAATGAGCTCAGATGACAGTGGCAATGATAGTGGCAACTATAGATCTGCTGGGAAAAATAATGAGATTTTCTTCTGTAGCATCACACAAAACTGTTTATTGTAATCACTTTGCATTAATATCTTCCATTTACTGCTCTGCCTCCTAGATTACTTAGTTTGGTATGCCAATGTTTCATAATATGACTATTAGCACCACACTTGTACAGATACCAGTAAAGTGAAACACAACCAAGTTTACTGCACAGACAAAACACAATGGCCTCCAGAAAATAACAAAACATGTGACATTGGCTTGAAGCATGATCATACAAAGCACAAGATGACATACAGATATATTCAGGCAGACGACTGTACTGGTTCTTACCTGACGTGTAAGTACAAAAGGGGAACTGCTATCACTTGAATTGGATGAACTACCACTTGATTGCCTATCCCTCTGATCCCTGCTCCATTTCAGTCTTTTGGAATCCAATGAATCTTGTGAATATTCTGTATTGTTATCAGGATTTGACAAATTAGTCTGGTATATCTGCAGTGATTTTGGAGATTCCATAGTGAATTTAGTAGGTTCATTTTCACCCTCATCAAAACGTGGTAATGTGGAACAATGGCTGTGTTGGAGGCTAGATTGTGAAGAATGGAAGGATGTAAGGTCACATTCAATTGGCAATGTAAGTGGTGACTGTATGGAATTGAGGAGACAAACTTCTGATCTAGGAGTAAATCTGGAATTTTCAGAGTTTTCATAATGTTTTGATATTATTTGTTCTTCTAGACTCGAAGGCAATACTGAATGAGAACTGGTTTCAAACACGCATGACTCTGCATCAGGACTTCCAGGTTCATGTCGCCAGTCTGAGTCCCAAAGAAATGATCGCATCCGCTTCCTCTGTCTGGGTCTCCCAACATTAAGATATATTAGCTTAGTTCCTGTAGATGTATGCTCTCGTCTATGTCGCCTCCTGTTTGGATTGTAAAACCTTGTACTGTCTAACAGAATTGCTCTTATTATATTTTCTACAGGTCTGTGGCAGTGCTTCCGATGTTTTACTGGGGCTGAGATTTTTTGACATGTGACAGGCTGACAAAATTCTATGGTTGGTGAATCTGAGTGCACTCCACCATCATGCAGGGGTGCCACAGGATACAGCATCACCAGTCCTGCTCCATCACCAGAACCAAGAGTAGAAACAGAAGTGAAAAGCTTCTCATGCTATTAAACATACATAACACAGATTAGAAAAAGACATTCTCATATTCCACAATAAACAATGCAACATGCACCCATTACTACCACTACAACTACCACCACCAAAGCAGTACAACATAACAATACTAACAGCAACAAAATAATCATAATCAATTCATGAAACTGTCTTTTCCTCATTATCATCCAATATATGAATACATCATGAAGAAAATCTTTAAATTTACAACAGCAATTTAATTTTAACTGAAAAAAATGACACTATCAAAATGAACTTGTACACTGACACTTAGGCTTACAAACCTTAGCAACTACACCAAGAACAGCTGTGATACAGCACATAATACCACACAAAAGTTTTTAATTCAACATGCAATTTCTAGACTTTACAAAAATGTATTTTACATGAAACAAGGCAAGTACATACTGTTGTGAGCCGCTCTAATGCTCCAAACCTCTCTTCCTGAGCTGCTGCTGACTTTTCAAAAGCTTCATGCTTCTTAATGAGGTTCTCAACCTCATCAATTGTATGCTAAAACAAACAACAGGCATAAAATAAGTTCTAAAATTCAAGGAGTGTAGTTTGAATTTATTTTGAAAACACAACCTCATATCATTACAACATATATGTGTGAGGAGTAATGATTTTCTACAAATGTATTCTGTGAATTTCAAAAATTTACTCATTCACCACACCAAAATCTTAATTACCACAATGTCCCTTAAAATTAAAATTGTGTTAAAAATGTTCCAAGTCTTTATAGATATCTTAAGATCAACTTACTCCAAGTTCCTGACTCATGAGGTATGGTTCCTGTGCAATAAGCCATGCTTCAGCCACAGCAGCATCACGAGCAAACTGATACACCTCCAGGACTGAAATGTAACAGGATTAATGGATAAATTTTTTTGGCTACAATGGCATACCATTATCAGTTGAAGAATGTATGAAAAAATCTGCACTCTCTCCATCAACTTGTAGGCAAGACCATAATTGCACAGTAAGGTTGTCATCAGCATGCAAGCCAAACATTTGTTAAGCACAAAATCTAACACGTGATTGAATTTATTTTGTAAAACTCATATCTTACCCACAAGCTGATACTTTGTATTGTCACAATCAATCACAGTATTATCAGGATTTTATTGTACAGACAGAAAACATAAATAATCTTACTAAGTTGCAAGTTCTCCCAGCGTTCTTCCCAGCGGTGCAGAAGTGAATTGCGTTGATTTGTCAGAGAAACAAGTTTCTCCCTGATTTCATTGGAAGCATAATGATTGCGTGACAGTAGCTCCTTTCCAAGTGATATGCAGGCAGTGAAGTTATCTTCCCGGGCATCAATTTCTGCTTTCAAACTCTGGTGATTATTCATCAGCAACTCCACCCCACTCACATCCCTACGGAAATTCAATTTAAAGACTTCAACAGGCATGCCTAACCCTTTCAAAATAAAAATCAAGGAAATGCATGCCCCATGGCACACTATCCATACTCAGAACTTTTGCAGTTTCCTCCAATCCCTACATTCTTTTTACCAGATCTGCACATGGTCCACATGTTAACTGTAAGTTACATATTTCCACAGTACCTTGGTTTCTCAGATGTGTTCATCTGCCTCACTACATCGTCCATCCAGAGCATCAGGGTGCGCACCATGTTGAAGAACTTGAACAAATCACCCGTGTCAGCTAGCTTCTGCCGCCGCCCATCACACATGGCCTGCAGATTTGCCCATGCTGTTACAACCTCTGCTTCACGATTTGTGATCTCCTTAGCCTTGTCACCAGCATATGAAGCCTGCAGCTTGGCAGATTCTTCCTGAATTTGGTGCACCTGAATAGGAATGTAACAATGTTACTCACACATCATAACAAAGAACACTATTCATAAGTAACAATTACAGTGAAACCTCTATCCATCGTTCCCGGAACTATAGTTTTCCCGGATGCATCGTCCATTTTGTTCGGTCCCGAATACATCCCATATAAAATAATGTTACATTTTCCCGCTTCTATCGTTCCTCGAACTATCGTTTTATCGCATCGATCGTTCAAAAATCTTAGTCCCGGCCCACAATTTTCCCGCAATGATCGTTTCTGAGAATTTAAAATGCTGGGTTTAGAGATAAATTAATACCGAAAGACGCACAATGTTTTTGGAATACGCAGTAGCGGTAACCTGTTATATCGCCCAACCAGCACATTCTTTTGGAATGAGGGTCAGCGGTGCAGGGGTGATA